AAAAAAAAAAAAAAAAAAAAAAAACCCTATAGATATCCCTTCTTTTCTGCCTAGCTTCAAGTACACAAAACAGAAATTCAGAACACCATTTATAATTGTGTCCTAAGAATAGAATAACTTAGACCCAAAAGTTCATTTAATTATTATCTTTCATGTAACATGACAGCACATAATGAAACATTCATCACTTATCTGTACTGAATATTTAAAATTCATTATTTGTATCAGTGGAGGCTGGAAGTACAGCTGGAACGGTGGCAGACTGTCTCCACAAACTCTGGTAGAATTGGTAGGGAATGACAACTCACATGTAATAATGGAAAGAAAAACAGCCAGAGCAGAGACTGGTGAATTGTAAGAGGAAAAACAATAGAAAAGCAGGCAGTTAGAGAACAAAATATCTCAGAGAGCTGTCTAATTTTAAGTCATTCCTTTATATTATTGCTGTTTTAATCTTTAAAGAAGACAGGCCTTATGTGAATTGAATTGTCTAGAAAAATTATGCTTCAAGTTTCCAGATCCTCTAAAATGTTGTTGTTCCTGTGTTTTAATCTAACTTCTTGCTAGTGTTAATTGTCTCTTGACTTATAATAAAATCAGTTTTCACCCCTGGGCACGAAGGAAAGGATTTATTGGGCTTGGGTAACAGAAGAAACCAGCAGTGACCACAGAGGAAGGGCTCTAACAGGTAGATGAGAGGAGGCTCAGAGTTTGGGCCGGCCAGGCAGAAACCAAAGAAGAACCCCGTGAGGAAGTTTGGCTAACTATCTACTACTATCATTTCTGTACTACAGTATGAATTTGGATGAAAAACAACATGGCCAACAAAGAGTGAAATTCCTTTTACTCACATTTACCAAGTGGCAAGCTCAGAGGCTATTTCTGACCCAGAAAAATGCTGACTGCTTTAACACAACCAGGATATGAATTTAACACTGTGTGTAAAGCCAGGAAGCTCAAGTTTTAAGAGTTTATTGTATGAGTCATTTTATGACTTGTTAAATATGTATTTGTATACAGTTTATTTTTTGGTAATAAAAAAAGTCAAAATGCAGCAAAAACCAGTGAACTCAGGCCCAAATAGATTAGGAATTTTACTGTCCTTTTTAGACTTCATTGTGGACTACATGACAAAAATGGAAGATTTTATTTTGAGAGCTGAAGCTGGAGTTTTTAAAGAGAATCAAGTGTTTTTAAAAGTGACTGATTCTTACACATTTCCCCTTTTATTCAGATATAAAGAATGTTGGCCGGGCACAGTGGCTCACACCTACAATCCCAGCATTTTGAGAGGCAAAGACAGGAGAATCATTTGAGGCCAGGAGTTTGAGACCAGCCTGGGCAACATAGAGAGACCCTGTCTCTACAAAGAAATTTTTTTATATTAGCCGGATGTGGTTGCACATGCCTATAGTCCCAGCTACTTGGGAGGCTGAGGTAGGAGGATCTCTTGAGTGCAGTGAGCCCTAATTGTGCCACTGCACTCCAGGCTGGGTAACAGAGCTGGGTAACCCTGTCTCTAAAGGAAAAAAAAAAAAGTGTGCATATAATGCACTTCCAATCTTTACCTGTGTCTCCTGACGCAAACTGGTATCTTCACATTCTTTCTCAATTTCTTCCTTACTTGGAGTCTTAGATATAAACTTGTTTTTGTTTACAGATTCTTCTACCAGTTTTTTTTCTGATTCTTTCATTATTTCCAGGGTCTCTTGAGTAGTGTTACTGTTAGACATGTTCTTCAATAGAATACAGTGGCCTCTATGGACTCCTAAAGAAACATCAAATGCATTAAGCAGGAGGTATGTATCCATACTTAACAAATACACAGGACTTATATTTCACATGGGTACATTTTTTTCCAGTAGCCTTCCTATAACCCAGAAAAGAGTTATTTAATAAATGCTGTCCCTGCGTTCATTTCTTTAAAAAAAAAAAAAAAAAACAACCTTTATTGAGGTAAAATTGACATAAACTGCATATATTTAAAATGTATAATTTTATGTTATGACACATGCATTCACCTGTAAAACCATCACCCCAATCAAGACAGTGAGCACATTCATCATGCCCCAAAGGTTCCTCATGTCCCTTTGTAATCTCTTCCTCTCTTCCCACTACCCCCAGCCAACTACTGATCTGTTCTGACACTACAGATTAGTCTGCATTTTCTAGAATTTTGTATAAATGGAATCAATCACACTGTCTGGACTCTTTTACTCAACATAATTATTTTGAGATTCACCAGGATTCAGTTCTAAAGTAGTATGAGCCCTCTTGACACTTTATTTTCTCCCCTTGTTCCCTACAGAAATTTGCTCACATTTCTGGCTCAGTCACTTCACCCATTAGATTCTCTCCAGCAAGAAGAAAATTATAAAGCTCTATTGACTACTAGAAAGGAATATTCTCCTTTTCCAAGGAAGAACTTTCACAGCTACCACAAACCCACAACACTGTTACCAACTTCAAGCTATTCTCCTTTCAAAAAGAAGTAAAATCAGACAAAGCTTAAATGGTTATAGAATATATAAAATCCTACAAATATATATATATATTTTTAGATGGAGTCTCACTCTGTCACCCAGGCTGGGGTGCAGTGTCACAATCATAGCTCACTGCAACCTTGAACTTCTGGGCTCAAGCAATGTTCTCACCTCTGCCTCCCAAGTAACTAGGAATACAGGCATATGCCCGGCTAAATTTTTTTTTTTTTTTTTGAGACGTAGTCTCGCTCTGTCGCCCAGGTTGGAGTGCAGTGGCACGATCTTGGCTCACTGCAAGCTCTGCCTCCCGGGTTCATGCCATTCTCCTGCCTCAGCCTCCCGAGTAGCTAGGACTACAGGTGCCTGCCACCACACCCGGATGATTTTTTTCTATTTTTTAGTAGAGATGGGGTTTCACCGTGTTAGCCAAGATGGTCTCGACCTCCTGACCTCATGATCCGCCCACCTCGGCCTCCCAAAGTGCTGGGTTTACAGGCTTGAGCCACTGCACCCGGCAGGCCAGCTCATTTTTGAGATTTTTTTTGGGAGAGATGGAGTCTTGGTATGTTGCCCAAATTGGTCTTGAACTCCTGGACTCAAGTGATCCTCCCACTTCGGCCTCCCAAAGTGTTGGGATTAGAGGCGTGAGCCATCGCACACAGCCTTAAATTCTTTCCTTTATCTTAAGCAAGCTGAAAAAACAAGAAGAGAACTTTGTAGATATCTGTCCTTCAGAAAAATTGGGTCCCTCCCTGGAGGAAGAATCTTTACTTTGCTATACACTATTTGGGTTCAGTCAATCTACTGTCTGCCAGTGATAGAGTATCTATAGTGCAGGGACGGCTGTTTCTTTATCACTTACTATCACTACCTGGGAAATCCTGTAATGAAGCCTACACAGTTCTCCAACCACACACTAAGAAACAGAAGTTGATACTCTATACACAGATACATGTCCTCAATTGCCCAAGTCAAACACGTTTAGCTCCAACAATAGTTTACAGAGGTTTCTCCTTATACAGGTTACTGACTGTACTTCAACCCTAAAGACTTCTTTCCCTCCTTTACTGGTAACTCTCCCAGATGTCACATCTATTCCCAGTGAAGCCCTAGAAACAGAATTAAATAAACAGACAAATGGTTAGCAACGCTTCAAGAAAATTGTCACAACAGATATTTTTCTCTCTTTTAAATCAGTTTAAAGGGTAAGACCCAGAAGTCTTTCAAGAAGCAAAGGTAGCCACATCCTGACATAAGTTAGATGGTCTGCCAGGCTATTGCTTTGTGATTTTTTTTTTTTTTTGAGACGAGATCTCACTCTGTCACCCAGGCTGGAATGCAGTGATGCGATCATAGCTCACTGCAGCCTCAAACTCCTGGGTTCAGGGAGCGGTGGCATGTGACTGTAGTTCTAGTTACTCAGAAGGCTGAGGGGGTTAGATCATTGTTTTGTTCACCTTGTGGTGGCTCTTCAGTAGCTGCCTGGAGACTTGGTTTACTTAGGTAAATTCTCTTTAGAGGGCCAGAGAGTCATTCACACAATTGCAAAGTCATATAGTTAACGGCCAGGCACAGTTGCTCACACTTGCAATCCCAGCACTTTGGGAGGCCGAGGTGGGTGGATCACCTGAGGTCAGGAGTTTGAGACCAGCCTGACCAATATGGTGAAACCTGTCTCTACTAAAAATACAAAAATTAGCCTGGCGTGGTGGTGAGCCATTGCATCTAGCCTTAAATTTTTTCCTTTATCTTAAGCAAGCTGGCTCAATTGCACTCAATTGCCTCCCAGCTATTTGGGAGACCGAGGCAGGAGAATCACTTGAACCTGGGAAGCGGAAGTCACGGTGAGCTGAGATCACACCATTGCACTCCAGCCTGGGTGACAGAGTAAGACTCTGGTTCAAAAAAAAAAAGTCATATAGTTGAAAGTTGAATTTAAAGACGAAAAATATTAGAAGAAACTGGCTACAAGTATTGAAAGACACTGATACAAACTTCTACTTTAGAATTATCTGCTTCAGTAACTAAAAGCTACTATAAAAACAGTTATAACCTACAGACCTTCATGGATCATTTGCTATACATGGGACTTTGTTTATGTATGTAGTATGTATGTATGTATTACCCACCCCCGCAATAGGTAAATCAAGCCTCAATTCTCTTCAGTCTGAAGTACTAGTAAAACTCACCACATGCATTCTCCCTATCTCTTGGCTAGGAAACATTAATAAAGATCAAAATTGGGGGCTGTGTGTGTTGACTCATGCCTGTAACCCCAACACTTTGGGAGGCTGAGCCAGCAGGATTGCTTGAGCCCAGGAGTTCAAGTCAACACAGTGAGACTCTGTCTCTACAAAAAAAAAAAAAAAAATTAGCCAGACATGGTGGTGCACACTTGTAGTTTCAGCTACTCAGGAGGCAGAGGCAGGAGGATCACTTGAGCCCAGGACGTCAAGGATGCATTGAGCCATGACTCTGCCACTACACTCCAGCCTGGGCGACAGAATAAGATCTTGTCTCTAAATAAATAAATAAATAAATAGTGCTGAGTGCAGTGGCTCATGTCTGTAACCTTAGCAATTCAAAAGGCTGAGGTGGGAGGGTTGCTTGAGGTCAAGAGTTTGAGACCAGCCTGGGCAACATAGTGAGACCTCCTCTCTACAAAAAAAAAACAAAATTAGCTGGGTGCGGTGGGGTATGCCTGTCGTCCCAGCTACTTGGGAGGCTGAGGTGGGAGGATCACTTGAGCCCAGGAGTTCAAGGCTACCGTAGGCTACAACCACACCACTACACTCCACCCCGGGTGACAAAGCAAGATCCTGTCTCTGAAAAAAAACAAAATTAGCTGGGTGCGGTGGGGTATGCCTGTCATCCCAGCTACTTGGGAGGCTGAGGTGGGAGGATCACTTGAGCCCAGGAGTTCAAGGCTACGGTAGGCTACAACCACACCACTACACTCCACCCCGGGTGACAAAGCAAGATCCTGTCTCTGAAAAAAAAAAAAAAAAAAATCAGGCGCAGTGGCTCATGCCTGTAATCCCAGCACTTTGGGAGGCTGAGGTGGGCAGATCACCCGAGGTTGGGAGTTTGAGACCAGCATGACCAATATGGAGAAACCTCATCTCTACCAAAAATATAAAATTAGCCAGGTGTAGTGGTGCATGCCTGTAATCCCAGCTACTTGGGAGGCTGAGGC